TGGAAACTTTCTGAACAGTCGTGTGAAAGGCAGCCGAGGCCTGGGGCTCGGGGTCGGTTCCCACACTACAGACCAGCAGAGGAGGAAACTGAGCCAAGAGGGGAGAACACCCTGCCCAGGGCAATCAGACTGAGGTCACTCGGGCCCAGGTCAGAGGCCTGACCAGTGGCTTGACATCTGAGGGCCTTACCGATCACCCATGCCTTGACTGGTGCTGTCCTGAGTGGGAGCCAGAAGAGAAGGGGACATGGGCCCACTAAAGGGGCCACAATCGGGTTGGCAGCCACTGAAGGAGGGGATGGGGAGGGCAGGCGAGTCCTGGGGAGTGGAAAACAGGGCTGTAGACGGAGGTGGGGCCGTGCAGACCTGGCCCCTGCCCCCCACCATTCCAGGGGCCCAGGATCACGTGAGCCTCTTTTTTATCAGAATGTTGCCTCCTGTTTTGAGCAGGGATGAAGGCAAAGAAGCTGAGTGTGCATGTCTGTGGGTGGAGAGGCAGAGGGGCCGAAAAGCCCCAGCCTCTGCCAGGAGAATATAAGTCGTATCCGAGACTCGAGTGAGCCCACAGAAGGCCTGCAGTGCCTGGATAGGATGTGTCAGGCAGTAGGGAGCCACTACAGGTTCTTGAGCAGGAGGGGGACAGGGTTAAAAGGGTATTGGGGACCCTTCCCAGGGTCCAGAACAGACATGATGGCAGGTTTCAGAGGCAGGGGGGCTCCCTGGAGGGACGAAGGAGTTTCTGGGCCGGGAATGGAGGGTGTGGGCGCCTGCCCAGCTCCAGGCACCCTCAGCCCACTCTTCAGCCCAGCATACCAACTCGACACTGCCTTGGCCTCCGCCATCAACCCACAGCACACAGGGCAGTGCCAGGAGAGGGGTTAGGGTTAGGGTTGGCGTTGGGGTTAGGGTTAGAATCAGGGTTAGGGTTAGGGTTGGTATTGGGGTTAGCGTTGGAGTTAGTGTTAGGTTTGGGGTTGGTGTTGGGGTTAAGGTTGGGGTTGGGGTTGGAATCAGGTTAGGGCTGGGGTCAGGCTTGGGCCATTCCAGAGACGCCCTGCTGCCTTCGGAGGGCAGCTCCAGCCTGACCTGCAGCGGATCCTGGAGTACAAGTTACAGTGACTGTTAGGTGGGAGGAGGAAGAAACCTCTGAATTGCCCCACAGTCCCTGCAGCTCACACTCCAAGAACCTTGTCTCATCCTAACCTAAGGGGCCACCGGGAAGGGAAGGCCAGAGCCTGGCCAGCAGGACTGGCTGATTCTGGAGTCCGAGGGGACAGGAGGGGCTGGATTCCCACACCTGTGTGTCTGCAGGAGCTTCGCACTCAACGACCACGCACCAGCCTCTGTCTGCCCTGGTCCAGGCAGCCACGTGGCATCACATCATGCTCCTCCAATCTTCCTTCCGTTCATTCACTCATCCGTTCGTCAGCTGGTTCTACAACTTTCCCCAGCACCGGGCTGGTCCCTGCCCCTGCCGCTCAGGGTAGAGGAACATATATTCCAGCTGGGCAGATTGACGCACACACAGACAAACAAATCAGACCGCATTGGAGAGAGGTGAGAGCCAGGCAGAAAATAAAACGGGGTAATAGGATTGAGAGATGCGGATGGTCAGCAGAGGCCCGAAGGAGGGCAGAGGCTGGAGACAAGGGGCCTACACAGCCCCAGGGCACATGCCCCATATCCTGCCCCTTTCATCCCTTCTTCTCACGGCCAGCGGAAACCCCACCTCCTCCAGGAAGCCTGCCTGGTGCTCCAGGTTCTGCTGCACTGACTGCACCAGCCCACGTTGCAGGGCTCTTCACATTGCATCCCCTGGACCCCCCTCAGAGACACCTGGAGGTTGGTCCTTGAGAGGCAAGACTTGAATGGGAGCGACCGCCCGACCAGGTCAGCCTCCTACTTGCTAAGTGGCCTTAGGCAAGGGACTTCTCTCAAAGCCTTAGTTTCCCCATCTGCAAAAGGGGGCTAGTGCCGCCTCTCCACAGGGCCATTACAGGGATTATCCAAGACTCAGAGCCAGTGCCCACTCTCTCCCTCCTTCTGATCCTCAGTGGGCTGGGGTGGGAAGGAGGGCAGAGAGGGCTTGGAGGGTGGGGACAGGAGGCGGGTGCAGAGTCGGGGAGGGGCTCTCCTGGGGCCTTCCCAGGCAGGCCCCAGCTGAAGTCTGCAAGCTGCCTGAGCTGAGGCAGGAGCCGCCCCCACCCCACCCGCCCCTCCCCCGCCTCCCCAGCCATCTGCAGCGTTGGCAGCAGCAGCACCAGGGCGGGCGGCGAACATTCTGGCACCATCTGAGCAGGACCAGTCTTTGGGGAAGGGCCGCAGCCCAGGAGGAGGAAATGTGGGCAGAGCCCCGACATGGATGCTCTGTCCCACATCCTCCATTAGTGTTTGTCCCCTTGGGGCCTGGGGAGGGCAGGGACATTGGGGCTGGCAGGCTGGGCCCCCACTGCTTCTCATGGACTGCCTCCACTTCTGTGTGTGCCCTAAACGGTATCAGAACCCAAGAGGCCAGGAGTGGAGGTCACGGAACCTGCCCCTACTCACGATGGGGAAACCAAGGCCCCCAGGGCAAAGGGACAAGTCCCATAGTGAGCCAGTGACCAGGCCTGGACAAAGCTCTCCCCCTGGGTAGGACTGGGAGAGCCCGAACCCTGAGCTGCCACCTCTCATCTTGTCCGTACGGTAGCCCGGTGCACCTGCAGGCAGAAGGGCCGTCCTCTGACATTTACCCTGTCGCTGGAACTTGGGACCCTCCCTGCCCTCTCTCCATTTGCTACCCAATAATGTCCCTGGGCCCAGACAGGAGAAGAGAGAGGACTCTGCCTGCCACTAAATGGTCCAGTTGGCTGCTGGTTCTTTCTTCTTGTGTCTCCTGTTTCTGGTTTTTCTCTCTTCCCGGCTGTCAGTGCCTTTTCTCAGCATGTCACTGTGCCTGAATGTAGCAATCTACTCTCCTGATTAAATGAGAAAGTAGAAACTGCAAAGCAGACAACATATAGACTGTAAGGATAGTGGTGATGGTAGCACAACAGTGTGAATCTACTTAATGGCACCAAATTGTGCTTTAAAGTGGTTAAAATGGTAACTTTTATGCATATTTTTCCCACAATTTAAAAAAAGTAAAAAAGAAAAATAAGGTATTTATTGGCAGCATCTTCTAATCTGCCAGTGCTTGGAATGACATGAACACGTGTGGACTCCGAGCCTGTGGGTCCCGAAGGAGGTCAGGAGTGAAGTGCGTGTGCTCGGTGACCTCTCCTCCCACCACTCGGACCCTTCCGCCTCCCCAGCGCGCCTCCCGGGGTTCACACTGCGCTGGGCTGGCCGGGGCGGAAGACTCTCTGACACTCTCAGGACTGACCCTTGCTCATTCCTGAGGAGGCTCCGGCCTGGCCTGGGCCATCAGAATCGCCCTGCCCAATGCCTTCAGGAGAGGGCATGGTTCACACTGCGCCCTTCCCCAGGGCGGGGCTGGGCCATCCTTGGGCCCTGCTAGGGCGCAAGGACGGGAGTGCTCCAGCTGGGGGACGGGGAGCAGCACTGACCCCACCCCCCAGGCCACCTTCTCGGTCTGAGAGCTCCCTGGGGAGAAGGCAGCCCCTCTGTCATGACTTGGCTGTCCTGGGCCAGGGGCACTGAGTCAGGCAGGGAAGGAAGGCAGGGCAGCTACCTGCGGTGATGGCTGATGACGGGGCAGGGCAGGGGCGGGGAGAGGGGTAGTTGCAGTTTCCTCATCTGTAAACTGTGAGCTCCAGGAGGGCAGGAACTCGGTTCCACTCACTCCCATATCCCTAGGGCCCAGAGCAGGCCTGGTTGGTTTACAGTAGGTGCCCAGTAAATGTTGAGGGATTGAATGAATGCGTGCGTGAGTAGGCTGACAGGTTAGGACTGTCCTGGGCTTTATTCCAAGTCCTCTTCATGCATTCATTCCCTCATTCATTCATTCCTCCAGCCTGCACACACTGCACTCATTCATTCATGCGCCCCGCCATTCATGTACGCACGGGTTCATTCATTCCCTGCCCCAGCGCCATCCCGTCCCCGGCTCCCGTGCACACGCGGGGTCCCGCGCCCCTGCAGCCCCGCGGCCGCCACGTGCGCCCCGGCTGGGCGCTGAGCCGGGAAGCGCTGAGGCAGCCGCGGCTGCGCGGGGCCGGGGCTGGCGGGGAGCCGGGC